TGTAACGAAAGTTGCCTATGCACTAAAAAGTATTGGTAAATGTCGAGTATAGCTGAGCTTTATCGCCATCAACAGTAAGGTTCTTTATTATTCAACCTTTCTTGATTCTATCAAGAAGTTTTGAGTACTAACCATCGACATATGGAGTTGGCAAGACCTTTATTATGTACTATAAGTTCTACTGAAGCATTTCTGGCTTTATAGCTACATACTTCATATCATTAATCCCCTGCCCAAACTTCAAATACAAGGAATGCTGTATAAAACAATTAATACCTTCACCTTAACACGATCACCATAATGAAAACTCAATAATAAATGTCGTCTTAGCAATAGAATGAGTCTGTTGAACCCTTTAGTCGTCCATTTAGTAGTACAGTCACGGTTTTAAAAGATCAATTTAGATGCTCGCTGGTCTATAACGGTCACCAGATGCGGTTTTGTGGAATTCCCAATGGGAGACTAGTTTCAGTCTAAATGGATGATCTCTTGCTAATGGTGGCGCCAAATTGACACGTTGATGACAATATCATCTTACACGAGTAGCGTTCAGTCAAGCAAAAAACCTAATGCTGACTAGTGCAAATCATACGGGGTAAGCCGATATTTGCATGAGAGCTCAAACTTGTGATGTTATTATGTTATATATGACCGACCACGTAGTATAAGACGTTCACTAATGCCCATACGTACGACTAACTACATATCCGAGCCAAGGACGTTAACTTTCAGTTGTTTCTTGTTGCTTTGACCATGCTTAAGCATGTGGTATATTAGAAAGTTCTAGTGAAGCAGTTTTTAGAATCACAAGTAACCTATAGGACATTTTTGACTGGCAAACATATCAGTATATAACTTTCGTGACACAACAATGTCCAGCAAATTATCAATAGACTGTGGGGGATTTTGTATGGTAACGTTAATAATACCTTTCCTTACACTCAACCGACAATGCATCTAGAAGCATCTCATGACTGTATTTATTTTGGGGAACGTTTTATTTTCTGTTAGGCATGTGTAATTCACAAGAAAAAACTAGTTTCCCTTCCATATCATCTCTCCATGGGTATACCCGGTAATAAATTCAAACTCTTCCCCATCCATCCTAACCCCCTTTACAATCTTTCCACGTAACTTCCTACAACCATTTGCTGTTCGTCGATCTGCACTAGAGCACATTGCTCAATTCTGGAATTACCTACACGGAGCGTCGAGCTAAAAGGACGTACAGACATTATACATTACATTAGCAGAGCTTTTAAGCCTTACGTTTACTACGTAAGGAACACCTTTGCCTTTGGCAATATCGACTTTAGGAAGTTGAGAACATAGAATGTCTAGGCCACATACAATCACATACTGCATTAGTATTGGTAGAGTGTGGGTTACATACGCTAGTCTCCGCCAGACTCCTTTTCAGACTGAATATAAATAGTAGAAATCGGCCTATTAGGAATGTAACTGGCCAGGGGAGTTAGGCACTTGCAGGCAAATTTGCCCCTCTGTGACCAGCTGACTCCCCTGGCCAGTTACATTCCTTTTAAACCTATTTTCTACTATTTATTCAGCCTATATAAGAGTCTGATGGAGACTATTAAACATACGCCGAATAGAAAACGTTCATATATAAAAGAAGCTGCGCGGGGTGCAATTTATATTATTATATCATATTAACTTCTGCCCGTTTGACCCAGAATTACCGCGGTACCGGCAGACAAGGGCACGATGCTTGACACAGCCAGCTGACAAACGACCGTCATGGTTAGGGTTTCCCCCAAATTCAATTGGCGTGCATTAAGCTGCCCAGCGGTGAGAAAACACCCACATCACGGCCTGACCTTCACAGTCGGTTTAAGCGATTCGTTGATCAAGCGATTCTTCACGTGTTACTCACTTCCTTTGATGTCGCCCATAGCGGTGGGCGTGTGAAGCTTTTGCATCGAAAAGGAGATTTCTTTGAGTCGGCATCTGCCCTTGTGAGAATGTTGACACACTGCCTACATTATATTAAAAGAAAGAGATAAGCTACTTGAAATAGTCACCAACATGTTCCCTAGCTTTATTTACTTTTACGGTCTACAAAAAACTGCACTTCGATTAACATCTCCAAATTCATATATTTTTCAAATTGTCGGACATTTCTTACTCCACTCAGACTGAAAAGACTGCACACTGAAGAGAAATAAACCTAACAATAACCATATTAGAGATATCATTAGTACATTTAGTAGTATTGTTTTAGTGTTAATTCTAGTGTTCATCGTTATTGTATGTTATTATGTCATTGCAATTATCCCTCGGGCATTTATTTGCAATAAACCTATCATAAACCAGTGCAAATGCTCGTTTCTATCGTGCTTATATATATGCGAATGCCTTACTAGTATGTCAATTGTACACTCACCTTGACATTACATGCACTGATACTAGTGGTTCAATTTAATCTTGTACCAGGCCAGCGAAACGTGTGGAGTTAATTCAATGCAATACGATTTCTACACGTTGGACTTCGATACATCAATGATTAAGAGGGAATGGGTGTTTCTCGCAAAGTGCAAATGTAGATACTGTTTTTATAGATACAGTTAGCTAGCACCCGTTGTATAGCTCGAAATAATGTGCTAGCATCTCGCTTCAAGCAGTTACAAAATAGTCCTGTAGTGTACAATGGTCATTACACTTTATCATATTCGTCTCTCTATTCTGAATGGCGCCATATTGATATACAACATTCTGTATATTTGCCTAGCTGTAATTGTGAAAAAACGTAATGTAAACTACTGTAAAATGTCCATTTGGTTTCTTCTATGTTTAGATTTTAACAGAGATTGAACCGTACGTTTTGGAGCCAGTGGTTTTAACATACCGCTAAGCTTAAGGTTTTATGACCAGCAGGGATTTTCTTCGTTGAATATTCGTCCCAGAAATCTACTTATGCCGCCTCCTAATGACCAGGCTGATGTAGATTCATCTGCTACAGCGGATGTACAATCCTTTTATGCCCTACTTGATCCACATCCATTTATCAAATGCTTCTAGATCCCATCTCTTTTTTATCATTTCTCTCCAAAACAGATTAAGGTAGCACATGGCTTGTACCTTTGTTGGTATCTCACCACATTGACCGACATTGCCCTCTTTGAAGAGCGCTCAAGAACAAAGTTGAGAAGATTTTTTTTCTTGTTTTGCATTTTCATTGCTTTTATTTCCCTCCCGCCCCCCGAATTTCGATCGCATTGGTCAACATTGTAAAATATTATTTCATGAAACTCATTTATCATAGATGGGCTACGTGCAAACGTCATACGATTGCTAAAAATATTAATCTTTGTATTGCAAACGGCAGATGGGTTAATAAGTGGAAATTATACTAACATGATATAAAATTTATAGCCCCATGTGGCAATGCATCATTTTAATGCCTTCAATTTCACGCCACGCTACGGCCCAATGCAAATACAAAATTTCTAAACCATATAGTTTATATTCATGTAGCTGTAACATAATAGCCATCTAAATATATGCCATTTTAGTTAACTCGAATTTTGTAAATGACGTTAGAAGGTCAAAAGTGTGGTAATTTGATACATTATATTTTCTCTTTACGATTTGTCAAACGCAAAAATCAATACACATGTTCAAGCATACTTTTCTAATATTGAATTATTCATATTCTTTGCTACAGCGAATTTATCTTACCTCTCTGTGTACAAGTTTCAGTCTTCACTTCAGAAAGCACCCTTATGACGAATTGGTGTTAAGCATTAAACGTATCTGTCTACATGAGTGCATATTTTATGCCAAAGTGAATCAAGTCGTGAAATAAAATAACTGGTTAACCAGTCTTGTATGCTTGTACATTTTCTTGTACCCGATAACTCAATCAATACGCAATAACAAGTTGTAAAGTTACGGTTGATGAAATGCTAGAAGACCATTTGAAGAGTTTGGTAACTAGCAGTGACCACGCCATACTTTAGTTCATTAATCATGAGTGAAATTACATGTCATTTAGAGGACATATGGGAATCTGCCGGTCCAGGTGATTTATCTCACATCACACCTAGGGGCAACTTGATACAAAATACAGTTACTGACTCTTGGGGAGGCACTTCAAAATAACATTGTGTGTTTCCAAATACTTTGAAATATATGAAATTTCACCCTACTTTAACCCACGTTGCAAGTTAGTACTACCTGGAATAACATGATGTAACACCTAGCGCCAGTGCACAGTAAACCAGTCATATTAGCCCCGATGGAGATGACAGACGGTCATCGCGAAACGTCGGGGCTTAAGCAAATAGTTGTGAATGAAATAAATTTACTGTTATACATGGAATACAATTGTTTTGGCATATGGATTATGTATGATTCAGTTTCTACCATGTTGCAAACAATGAATGTTAGGAAATGTAGGAATAGTTCCATTCCCCAATGGAAATCATCATCGGCATATGTTTTTCGGCTATAATCAATTGATATATGAGCAAATGATCTGGCCCTGTGCGACCAATTATAAATTGTCTAGGCACTCGTTAATTATTGTAAAAGATGGGAAACCGGAAATGATTATCAAGGAAATGGGTGAAAAACAATGACAACGAGAATTTGATGAGAGTGCCCCTTAACTTAGTTTGGAGATATACGAGAGTGTATAGAATTACCGCAGCGTCTTATGAGAACTACAGTTGAAAGGGGATTCTGTAAGAACGCTTTTCTCTTTGAGTTAAATGTAAAAGGGTGAAGAACCGATGGTTTAGTGAAGAATTAACTTATTATACAGTAGTGAGTCAACTCAAAAGCCTATTTGTAAACGTACACTGAACTATGAATTAAAGAAAGATACTGCAAAAAGTATACTGGACAGGTTTATGATAGCAAACTTGATAAATCTAACCTATTGAATTATTAAATATAAAAAAAATCATTAAAAAAGTTCTCCAATAATTTGTCTAATGTGAATCATATCCATTAGAACGTGTAAAGAAGTAACAAACCTTGACTGAATTCCTCTATCTGCTTGCATTCCTGCCAATAGCCGCTGTGGAAGGTTGTGTAGTAGGCGACTTCCTTGGGTGCCTTGGTGGTTTCGTTACTGGCGGCCTGTTCCCGGGTGTGCCTGTGGAGCCCGACCGTCCAGTGTGACGTGACGAACGCCGTGCAGGACAGCGCGATGGTGGCCACGAACAGGACCGACGCCAGCCGGATCAGGTGGAAATACGCACCCATCGTGCCGGCTGCAAGTCACGCAAGCAAGTCACGGAAAGCAAAGACTGATCTCCAAGAGTAGTGACGATGGCGAAACAAAATCCAATCTAGCTACCACACACACAATGTTTACATCGATTCCTAACCTCTAAAAAATAGTAACATGGTAACAAGAACATGGATGACTTCCTACAAAAATCTATGCCTTACAGCAAGGCAGGTATTAAAAGTAGTGACGTTTGCAAAATAAGATCTCTACAAGCTACCAAATACACAACGTTCACGACAATTTCTTCCCATTAAAACACTAATATCGTAACAAGAAACCTGGAAAAAGCTTTGACTTACAGCTCTTACGTCAGATTGTACACTGCATTTTTTGTACTGCTTGCCTTCACTTAAGCTAAACAAAAATTTATGAATCGTATGACCACAAAGCAGGTTAAGAAGGCGAATGAAGTACCCACTCACCATGAGCCTCAAAGGAGCAACCGATACTTGCAGCATATCACAGAATCTGCAGCTGAAGAGAACTTACCTCGTCTGTAGGAGATGAAGTGAACACGGCGTTTTATATAGCCGCGGCTCGTGCTATGTACAACGAGTGTTGTGACGGCCTGCGTTTTACCGGGAGTTGCTCTGACGGGAAACCCGGAGGCTGTTACTGCACTCCCAGTGGGCAAACTCTCTGCACACGGTACTACTAGACACCGCGGGAGGCCAGATACCGTGACCGGTCTTTACTGTCAACGGGAGTGCCGCTTCCAACGAACTCGTTCAGCCGCACACAGTTGAATGTGAAACAAGAAGCGACCCAATCTTCCCTTATCGAAGAGCAGTACCCTTTGATGCCATTCAGTCTGGGAGTTAGAGCTTTTTTAACGTACGCGCGGACACTCGTTACCATCGACCGTTAGGTGATGGACGCCCGATAGCGTTGGTGATGCCGGGGGAAGCATTCGTCATCCGCTGACGGGATCGAGCAGGATTCCCTCGGGGGATATCGCAGACTCGCGCGCCGGCAACCAAACAAATCCTCAAATCAGGTGTAAGATTAAAACCTACTCCCCCGTTGTGTACTCTCTTGTATTTCAGTTCGACGCTGATATGTTAAAGTGCATTAAATGTGCCCTGTGTAAATCCTACATTAAAGCCAATGGTGACAGGCGTAGATGTATTAAATAGGCATCGTGAATACCGGTGTGACCTTTATGCTAGCCATGTGTGACTCTCCTCTGTAGTCTTCAACAAAAGCCCATTTAAAAAGGAAACGCTTTGAATTTACGCCAGAGAACATCAAAGAAAGACTTCCTTTTCAAGGCCTAACTTTCCTCGTGGAAGCATTGCTGTGGAAAAGATAGTAAAGCACACCAGCCGGATGTACATTTATCATTGCCTTTTTCACTAAATTCAAACCAAACTGTTGTAGTGCAATTTATCACCGCTAGATGGACCTGCAATGTAGCAGACCGATTTTAGACATATGGCAAAGAAGCTAGAATCAACTTTATAATTTTACAGCACGCAGTAATGCATTCACTGCCATCAAAATTGATTTTAGCATACAATTATTGACCTTGTTTTAGACCTATTGTCATTTATTTTGATTTTCTGTTATCCATTTCGTATAGTGCAGTAGGTTAAACATATTTTATATGTAAAAATGGCAGTCTGAAACATACATAACTTCAAGGATACCTAAATCTTGCTGACCGACTTGTCTGACCATTTCAAATTCTAACCTTTTCACAATGCGCTATGGATTTCACATGCACTCATGTATTCTGAAAATGCCCTACATACGTGTGTGTGTGTGTGGGGGGGGGGTATAGCTGATAAAATTCTGAATGAGTTCAAAAATATTCAGAACAATTGTCCCCGTGTGTGAAAATGTATCATTTTATCTTGACGAGCTATAAAAAATCTTAACGATGTAAAGGATGTAGACCCAATGGTCATTACAAGTCCTTTGTTGTACCCATTCGCAAGTGCACGTGATTTATTACTGCAGCATTATCACTTTTCCTATTACAATGAGTCTTATTATCGAACATAGAAATATCCTTACAACAAATTTATTGCATTGCATTGCATTGTATTTTGTATACATATAAACTAACAGCGCGCGTGTCTCGTCTAAACACTTTCATTGGCTAGGCGCAGGCCCAATGACTACAAAACCTTTACTAGGTCTATTGCAAAAATTGTAACAGACGTGCGAATTATCATGTTAATAAACTAAAGCTGGCGGGCAAATTGACTGTGGCGGTCTGCGTCTGCTGTGTCAGCGATTTTTGGTAGTCTGAATGACCTACGTTCTATCAGTAACTCTGACACACCATCATGAATCCTACCAACTGCCTGAGGGTTGCGGTGTAACATTCACTGGTTAATGCGGAAACCTGTCATGGTGCAATGCTTTACGTCAGTATGATAGACATTTTGACATATTTAGGACACTGCTCAAAAGGAAGACAGAACATTTTGTGGTTTGAAGCATGAGACTTCGTCTTGGTGCGATACCAAGCATAACTCAACGTTTCGGCGTAATAATTTAAATGCCTCAGAAGAAGAGAAAATAAAGTATTAATGGTACGATGTCCAATCTTTAAGTAGCATTTCGCTATATACATGTATATGTTTCGTCAACGCGTAATGATCATTACACTGTACAGGGAAAGAATCCAATCGTTAATAATATCTACACTATGGAGCCTGGTACATATAATTATTTGACTAGCCGCAACGATGTCTGCAAAGTATCTCTCTCTTTTGATCTCAATCGAGAACAAGTCAAGAATAGGATGCCATAAGTAACACCACTGATGTTAAGAAAACAGGTCAGCATACATTGATTTACGAAATCCCTGCTGGAAATGCAGGGAATAAACTTCAATCATAGAATACCCAAGATGGCGGAATAGGAGAGTCCCAGGAGGTGCGCCCTCTGGCGAACAGGTTACAGGCTCTCAAGATTAAGTGTCACAAGTTTGATAGGTATAATTAATTGCGGTGATGATATATATGTTCAACGTGCCCCTAATATATATATATTGTATGGAAAGATGGGAATGGGGAAACTATATGGTTCAGCATCTTATAAAACAGCTCGCTAATTGAAACTAATTAACAATAGTGGAGAAAGTGGTGGTGGTGGGCGAAAAGAAAAATAAAAAGGGCACCGCGTATCGCTAAAAATGCCGCATCACGTCTCCGTGTCAAAGGTCATGGGCAGAAACAAAGAGAAGCAAGTTTTTAGAAATTAAAAATTACCAATTTTTTTCTGAACTTGCAGCACCATCAGTATCAATTGTGCCTAGATGGCACCTGAATTGTTTGGATTGTTTCTTGAACGTTGATGATATTATCGATGAAACTAGTTTGGCTAGCAATCTGGTTTGTGCAATGTTTACATCCGAGTCAATGAACCGTAAAAGATCATAGGTCATAGTTCTCGTCTTTATTTAGCAATAGGCTGTCAAACTGGTTTTCCAACGACAAACGTAACAAATCAATGATCACTTCATAGCATCGGCGCAGATATCTTAAAGTTTTACTTCAAATATTATATTTATGATTATAAATATAAACATGAAAAATCACATATTACAAAAAAAATATTTATAAAAATACTAATAGGTCCGTGGTATTACAGATAACGCCGTCTGCACTCTAAACGCTCAGATCAGAGACAGCAAAATCGTTCCCATATCGCTTTATCCGTATCATAATGCGAGGCTCAAGTCCCTGACGCGCCCCATTGTACATTTGGGCCTACATGTAGTCTACAAAAGAAAGACATGGGAGATTCCATATATAAGAAGAGGGGGAAATGCTTGTTTGTGGCATTACATACATATTTGAAGTGTAATTCTGTCCCTAACGATTTGTGTACTCTGCTTATAGGCAATCTATCTACATGTTAGGGCTTATGGCTGTACGTTCTGGTGAATGCTTTGTTGGCACTAGCTGGCCTTCATGACTTACTTTGGGCTACAAGGGGAAGATGTGTTTGAATACGCCACTACGAGTTCCAATACAAACTTGTATTTGCACACATGGTACGAAAAAAAAACATATCTTAAACATAAGAGACACATATTCTCATACATATACCAGCTTGTATTACCTAAAACCGGCCATGCCCATGAAGCGGAATTTATTCAGGGACAAATGGTACCGGTGTACCGTGAACTCTGGCATTTCTGGCGTCTCTATTGTCACTGGATCTCACACTGGGCGTGGGACCTTCGGCAAGGACGCCGGCGCTTTATCCACACTCCAACATGAGGTACGTACTGCCACGTTATGTGGCATCATGCCATAAAATAAGCATTAATAGTTTATAGATTTAAAACTAATGCCACTGAAAAGTATAGTAGAAGGAAACAACCACCGTTTGTAGCAATATAAGACATATTTTCACTTTTGACAGTCCATATACGTGTACTACAAAACATACCGTCGATCTGTAGATGGCTAAATCCTGTATAATACAGGAGGGCAGCGTACGTTGTGAGCCTACCATCACGTAGTATATAATAGTATACTATCAGGCTTCTTTAAACACGGAGGAGCTCTACGGTAGCATCCCAGCAGTGTCAGAACTTATTAGACAGCGGAGGTCAAGATTTGCAGGACATGTGTACAGAAATAAGAACGAGTTAGCTATCGAACTGGTCCTGTGGTAACCTAAAACAAGGCCATGCTAGACCTGGGCGTCCTCGCAAGACGTACATATACAAGGAGTAGTACCTTGCGGGCGCCATGATGGATAAAGCGGACTGGAGGAATCGAGAGGGCTTGGGACCGGGAACCCCTGACCTGATAATGAGTAAACATGGATAACTTTATATCAGTCGCAAGTAAAGGGCAACGTAGCAGCATTTAAAGACAGGTGTGCATTAAACTGACAGTATTCTCAGAAAGGTACGTAAACGAAAGTTCTTGTGCGACAGTTTTACATTTTACTGTGCAGGTATGGATTACTAACTAGTCAGACAGGTAGCGACCTTGGGTAGCGACTAAAGCGACACCTCTGATAGTATTTTGCCTGAGGTAAAACCATCTGGGGTACACACCATATGCAAGTGGATAAAATTGTTGATAAGTACACTCGCATTTTAGGATCGGTCTATATACATAGATAGCAGTAATTTTATTAAGAAGAACCAAAAATTACAGTCTACAGTATACAGGTAAGTAACCTTGAATGTAAACAGGTTAGTAAGCTTAGATGTAAACATTGAATCTGTTTAGTGCATTGTTTACATCCAAGTCATTGAACCAAAAAAAATGTCACAGACACAAAATTTATGTACGGTTCAAAGGCCATAGTTCTCGTCTTTAGGCTTCCAATGTGGTTTTCCGACGGCAAACAAAACATTCTAAATTATATGAAGGTAGGTCATCATAATATCAACTAGTCGCATAAAGAAAAAGACAAGTGGACAAACTTTCCTTAATACTGAGCTCTCGGCAACACTTGTGTCGTTTAATCTATTTTGCTAACTTGAGCTTTCTTTTATATTCTGTGAAGAATTAAGAAAAAAGTACTATATAACATGTATGACACAATGCCATTAATTATGTTAAATTGTAATTTTCAATGTAACACCTAGCTGTCGATTTGAATTTCTATTTGCTTTAGGTCACACGTCTGGATTTCAGCCATTGTCTTCCTGGTCCATTTGGCGATCGCGAGCATAGAAGGAAATTTAAAGGGGAAATGCCCTAAGGAATTTAAAAAACGTAAGTATCTCTTTATGTAAACACTCCTCCACTTGCGTTTTATATATCATATTACGACTTTTTATCCGAATTCTTCCTTATTTTGTGTCAGTAAACGTAGTATATAGTTTGAACGGTTGATAGTGGCGTCTGAAGAGCAAAAGTTATATTATGTATATCACAGTAAATGTATTAAATGCATCATCAGATTTCTATATCAATTGTGGAGCCAATATACGATAATCCGATTTGTTTAGGTCATTGTCTAATGTTCGTTAGTATAGAATCCAAATGTCTTAGTTAAGGGAAAATTGAGCTATGTAGGTATATCTTGTCTAACTTCATCATTAATTTGTCTTTTTGTTTTACATAAAACGTTTATATAAATGCAATTGTAGGGTGAATAAATGCAATTATAGGATAATATAACTTAAGTCTGTATGTTAAATATATATAATATATATGATTGTAGATTCATCCAGTTTGTCAAATACCTTAACTATGTATGGTGTCTAGGAATGCAACTGGGGATCACTGACTTAAGGAGTGTTTTTAAGTCGACATTAGTGTAAAACATAACGGATACCTTCTTATGTGATTATCCAGGCGGATGTAGGCCTCTAGTGCTCCGTAACACCGTCCGCAGCGGCTGCAGTCGTCCCTTCAAATGTGGAGACCAGTGCCGCTATACCTGTGTCCCCGGATGTGTGAGGCAGCGTGGAGCCACTGTCAGGACGTGTAGACACGGCCGTTACTGGATCGGCGGGAAAGGACTGAAGTGTTCATGTACGTAACCAATCAACTTGCACTTACTTATTACCTTCGCCAAGAAGGTTATGTTTTCAGAGGCGTTCGTGTATGTGTGTGTGTGTCTGTAAACACGATAACTTGAGAAGGCTTAAATGGATTGACTTCATATTTGGTAGGTGGGTAGGTCTTGATGAGACCTCGAAATGATTAGATTTTGGGCCCCCTAGCGGCTTCTAATGTTACTGCAGCTGAACTTCCGGTTTTGATATCTCGTGATCTGGACAAGCTGGGGTGACGAAATTTTAATGGTGGGTAGGCCTTGTGCTTGGGAAGAAGTGACGCAAGTTTGGGCCCCCTAGCGGCTTGCTCAGGAACTACAGGGACATTTCTTTGAAATTATTCAAAAGAGGATAATTCAAGAACCGGTGGACGGATCTTTATGATTTTTGGTATGTAGGTAGCTTATGTGACGCTTGACATAATTATGTGACAATTATGCAAATCTGGATGTAATTTGCATAATTAATGAGGAAATTCTATAAATCAGCTGCATTACATTATAGGACTATTCAAGCTTGTGACATGTGAAATTGAGAATGAGAGAAACACAGGCAGATATTGATTATGTAATTTAACACTTAATTTCCATAATTATTGAGAAAATGTTATAATTCCATAATGGTTACTGCCTGGAACTTTATACTTGGGGTATTTAAAAGTTAAGTGAAGCTGAACATCATTAAACATAACTTATTCAAATAAGGACCTCATTTGCATAATTTATGAGGAAATGATAGAATGGCTTTCTTTATTAAGATAAAACTGTCTTTTGATGGAGAATATGATCAACTGATATAATTTATGCAAATGAGGATGCTATTTGCATAATCAGGAGGAATCATGATCAGCTTTGTCAGTCATAAAGATTAACATCATTTGGCGAAGGTATGAGATCGTGGGACTCTAGTTTAATAATATTACAGTATTTTATGCGTCTAGTTGTTCTAAATCTTAAACAAACTTCTCTAAAGATGACAGATTCATTGCTAGAAAAGTTACAATCATTTGAATAACGACCGTTTTTAATGCCTGATGTGCAAAGTTATTGATCAGAAGTTTTTCTTTTTCGAGTTTCGTTATTGCTTAGTTTATTGTATGTAGGATTTTACTATAGTCAATATCGACCGATGGAGGCTATACATAATATATAGTTGATAACTGAGCTCGACACTTCTTCTACAGGCAGACCCTGTAGTGGTCCACCCGTGGTCAGGAATGCCGAGGTTATTTGGGGCAGCGGCTGCTCGGCACCGTTCACAGCTGGGACAACCTGCAGCTACCAATGTGACCACGGGTACCGCAAAGTGGGAGGGGCGGAAACAAAGATGTGTGTCGACGGTGGATGGAGAGGTTCCAGCCTGGACTGTGACGGTAAGACTTTGTCAAAAAGGGATGTTTATCAATGAATAAATAAATAAAAAATGTGAATTACTAAACAGGTTGATGCAAGAATAGAATTTTCATAATTTATGATGTATGATATTTTGCATATAACATACAAGTGTTAGTAGTATGGGTATTGCACTATTCAACATTAAGACATAATTCCATGTTTGTCATTAATAATGCAAATCAAATATATGTCCTTTGATGTTCTCCCAGAACCATGTTACATATATGAGAAGTATGCAAACCATTTGGGGAAACTCTTGTCATTTAGAACAATTAGCATAAAATTCCCTCATGGAATATACAAATTAAGACTTCCATAAATGTAATGAATTAAGACTTGCATAAATAAGACTCCCTATATCATTTTTTTTTATTTTTAGTTGGACTTCATCAAAGGTACCTATTATTTAGTTACACATTCCTTCTTGACTGACCCTGTTGTAAAGTGTACAAAAAGGTTCTACACTTTCAAAGGAAGCTCATGCTAAACCGTAAACCGTTACAAACTTTTAATTTTGTACTTTCCATTACAGCCGTCCAATGCCCGACTCTGACGGCCCCAGCGTTTGGATCACTGACCCCCTCAGGACCACACTCTTACCCTAACCTGGTCACGTTCACCTGTGAGACGGGATACGTACTGACCGGCGCTGCTACTACAACCTGCCAAGCGAACGGAACTTGGAGCAACCCTGTTCCAACATGCACATGTAATACTCATAGAATTGTTAATGTATTGCTCAACTTTTAGCTGATAAAAATTTTAGAGAGACTGCAATTAGGTTATTTACAAAAAGTTAGCATATATTAAATTTTTGTAGTTGTACCTTATGGAATCGTCTGTTTTATTGTCCTTGACAATCTCTTACGATCATTTATTGGAGAAAGAGTACCATTTCAGATTTTTTTATTATTTCATAGTTGCTGAATATTTTTATTTGCAGTGTTGCATTTTCTTGAATAATACTACCCTTTTTATAAGAATAGTTTAAGAATGTTGTATTCAACGATCATTAGCTTATCAACAATCATACATCCAACCTTGCAGTTCCTACAACTCGGGCAACCATGGTCACGACACCACTAAACGTGAGCTCGTGTGAGAATCTGACTGTTTTCAACAGTGATTCAGGCAGCTTTGCCTCCCCGGGCTGGCCAGGGAATTATCCTCTCTCTACCAACTGTACCTGGCAGATCAATGTTAGTCCGGGAAACATGGTGCTTATACGGTGAGACATTTGGTCTTAGTTTAAAAGTGATCGTTGTTGACTGTCATTGAGTTGGGCATTCAAATTCCTGTTTATCAAAATTCAAGTGTCTTAATAAGATTATGCAGCATTCCTGCTAAGTGCCCCTACTTTTTTGTGTATATAATGTAACTAATTAATGAATGAATAGATACATACAACACTCAAATTCCTTGTTTTTAATGCTAGGGCTTGCAATGCATATCAAAAATGTATGCCTTTACCCTCACTTCCCCAGATTTGACCAATTTTCCTTGGAGCATGGCGGTATGACGTGTATATGGGACAGACTGCGAATTCTTGATGGACCAAACATCTCCTCTCCGGTGATCGCAACTCTCTGTGGTTCGTCAGTTGGTCCCGTCATCACAACAGGAAGTTCTGCCTTCGTGGTCTTCCACAGCGACGAGTCGGTGACTGATTCGGGATTTTTCGCCAACTTTACTGCGCACACTGGCCCACTTCGTACGTTACTTTCTTAGTAATATTGTTTTGTTCAAATCATACGCCGTACGTCTTGTCTATGTTGTTATGGTTTGTATTATGTTATATCGGTGGTAGCTGCTACCAGCCTTGTTGCTGCCTGGCTACCACCTGTCAGGCACTGTTGCATTCCCAATGAATGAAATGAAAATGTACATTTTATATTGCAATAATGCATATTAAACTTAAAAATTGCAGTACACAATCTTTTTGTTTCGTAAGGTACTGCGTAAGTGTTGTCTGACAACTGCCCATGTATTCATTCTGGCTTGAAGGTGATACTTGAAGGTGATACTTGACCACTTTGATAACCCAGATCCTAACATAAGACAAAGTTTACTTAACCAGGGAAACCTTTCGTCCCTGAATTTACTCACTTTACTCCATATTTCAGCTACTACTACTCCGGCGTATGTGACAAGTAAGTATTTTTCCATAAACATACATATATATACATCAAGTGTGATCAAGTGACATTTTCATTGAATTTTACTTATTGATATTAATTTAAAAGATAATTTTCATGTCAACGAAAATTGACCATACTTTGAAAGGCAATGCACTGCATGCTGTTCATATAGACTACTTAATATGTTCTTGCATGGGCAGAAACAACATTTGGAGTTGGGACTACGCCACCGGGTGTGTTCTGTGGCAACCCTACTGTACTGAATGCAAACTTTGGCAGCTTTACGTCACCGGGCTACCCAGGGAACTACCCAAACAACGCTTATTGTTCTTGGCAGATATTTGTCAATATTAGTGAAGTTATCGCCTTCCGGTAAGACATTATATTTGCTTTTGGGGGGCTTCTTTTATTCTTTTAGACAGAAACTGAATAAGCTATATAAGGCTGTGCATTTCAAACAAATCAGCTGACACTCCGCAATGCCATGATTGTTGGTAATAAACACCCAAAAAATGCCTCCTTTCAAGTTTAATGTTTCCATAGGTTTAGCGAGTTTCATCTTGAGGGCGAAAGTGGCTGTCCCTGGGACTACCTAGCCATATACGACGGCTCCGATACAAGAGCTCCACTTCTGGCCAGGCTATGTGGTACCTCCGGTACAACAACCTTCACAACAGGGAGGAACGCCTTCGTGGTCTTTATAAGCGACAGTTCCGTGTCACACACTGGGTTTTCTGTCAATTTCACTGCTGAAAGCAGACCTGGTAAGTTTGTCTGAACAAAACAAGTGTAGATTGTTTTATTCATAGTTTGTGTATTGTAATTTCTAAACTCTCTTCTCAAATCGACCTGTGTTTGATTTTAGGTCGGAATTAGGGAACCCCTATTGCAATAGAACGTTCCACCGGCAAAATGACAAAAAAACTGCCGTAAGTTTCGTGAACCGTTACGCCTGGGTGCAAGGCGATACACTGAAGTAAAATACACAGCTGTGCAGCTTCAATCGTTGTGATCTTTATCTGTCAATATTATAGCTCATGTTGCGCCGGTTTTTGGTCAGATAAATTATTACCAAAGGTGTGTGCGTTTACATGGAACATAGGTCGGAATTAGGACCCCTCCCGTTAGATTTCTCGCGCTGAGTTTGACGGAGGTGTTCGAAAGAGAACAGGGGATTCGATGCTTTAGATCTGGAACGGTCTATTAGTTTGAGCCCTTTAAAATGCTTTTATTTACGTTACGTTTATGTACAGTTCTAAGTAGAACACTGTTTCTACATGTTCCGACAGCAGAAGGCGTTGGAAAAATCTAATGTTGCATTGGGGAATAGACTATTAGTACACTTCACTTTTGGATAGGGGTGATTTAGAAACAGTCCATTTGGGCGGAAGGGAGAAAGGTCAATTTTTTTGTACAAAGGAAAGTGGTGTAGCCATTTGCTGTATTTGCTCCCGAGCAAATTAAATGCAGGCCTTTCTAGTTTTAAATTACTTTTACATTAACTTTAACGAAATAAGGTCATTGTGACTCTTCCGTTACGATTAGACTTTCCTTAACTGCGCGGGCAAAACAAATTTAATTGTTTTAGCCGGCGTTGTTTGTATGATGGAAAATAACTTCAGGATATCTTTCCTGTTGCTCCTGTTTTTACCTTAATTTACCTTGTAGTTTACAAGAAATTCCATATATCAATTTTATATCAAAGCCTTTATCAGTCTTTAAAAAAAGGTATTCAAACACATGATTGACAACACGTTTTTCTTGACTTTCACTTACTTTCCCTGTCTCGGTTGGGTTAAGGCGGCCTAGGCTGATATTCATGTTCGAGTTCCGCCGTGTGTCTGCACGATTGCCACAAACATGTTTCGAACCCGAATCATGTTCCACCATGTTCGATATGACGTCATTCGAATAGAACGTGTGTTCGAATTCGGGGTTACCGGCGGTCATTTGTATGTTTCCCCTGTAAACCCGCGTTGTTACGCATTTTATTCACGGAGTATGACTTAAACGGCTTTACGCCCAGCTGAAAACAACATAATTCATCTTTAGAGTAATCCATGTTTACGTATTATCACTTTTTTATCAAAATTGTCCGAGGCTATTTTGCATATAAGTCGAAATTTTTTAACTGTGGCGATTATTTAACAAAAAATGACAGAAAAATAGCCGTTTCTGTCGTTTTTGGCCCAAAAAAACAATGTAACTGTCATTTAAAACAAAATAGCCTCGGA